TAACGTTATGATAAAGCTACCTCTTTACGGAGACACTGACGTGTGAATAATTTCAGAAGCGTGCAGCTTTTGTGAACTCCTCGATGTATGCGATGTTTACAGTACAATACGACCGGAAGCGTGACAAATCTGCGTGATTAAAATTATACAGGAGGTTTGTAAATAAAATTAAAAAAAATATATATTTCAAAACTCTTTAGTGTAAGTACGTGCTTACTATGGAATAAGTATTCGAAAATTAAAATAGACGTCATTGTTGCAAATTAAACCAACCTTCTTTTCAACTTGCTGGGACGGACAAATACTCATTGGCTTGTATATTAGGTCACTATTCATATAATTTATTATAATTTATAAGCTATTAATAAAAAAAAAGAAAAAGAAGTTGGTATAAAATAAAAACAATCACTGATTCATACATAGAATTATTACATAGAAGGTTCGCATTTTTTAAAATTAGTGCTCATTTTGCACAAGGTCAAAGTTTTACATCTCTCATATTCGATAAGAAGGTTCTTATTACCCCCAAATGGGGCTTGTATGTGACAAATAAGCGCTCTAGGGTAATAATTTAGCTAGAAAAGCCCTACGGCGATAAGTAATAAAAAAAAAACACATCACACTTTCAAAAAGTTTGCGTACATCTAACCATCATACTGGTAATAGACATCATGCATTCAGCCCAATGACCTCTTCGCTATTCAGCCTTGTCTTCGTATGAGTATTATAGTGATCAATTTTAAATATCGAACGGCGAAGCTCAATTTCATTCTTGAAAAAAAATTAAACAGATCTTTACTGTGGTTCTTTATTATGAAAAAATAGCGAGCAGAGAAACCTTTTACTTTAAATATTGTTTTATTTTGGGATTTTTTTGTAATCACGTAATTCTTCAATTGATGAAAATATAAGCTGCACTACCGATTCAATGAAAATGAAAGCTGAAGCAGCAATTAACAATAATTTGCCTGAAACTTCTAAACAGAGATATTTTAACTAATAAAATGAGTTTTTTTTTTTGTAATGCCGGTTTTTTTCAAATTATCTCACAATTGAGATGTAAAGCGCGGGTGTAAGCGTCAATTGCACCCTCAAACTATAGTAGTAAATATCTTGGGCTGAAATTGATTCTTTACAACCCTAGGCTAATATTCAACTATTGTTAACTTATATGAAGAACAGGATCTTAAAAATATATAGTACATAGGCAAAAAATAAAAATAAATTAAACACATACATAAACCACTTTCATTAAATTAATAGTACCTGTAATAATTTAATAAGTAACTAATTTTGTATACGTATCAGCAAAATATTCAGTTTATGCATAATTACACAAACATAACACAAATAAAATACGAAAACAATCTCCTTATTTCAGTAACACTCTTTCTTCAGTAAAAATTATCTAATTTTGATTTTTACTTTCTCGTTTGTTGTTTAGACCTGTTCAGATTAAATAATTATTTCATTCTCTCAATAAATTAACTTCATTCGAAATAAAAATTACCTATTTTATTCCAAATTAATGTAAAGTCCACATAAGAGCGTGATTCTGATAAATTCACTCATGGCCGTAAAATACAGTACCTACATCGCCATAGGGACATTATACAGCCCGCCGCCGTCGATGTGCACTTAATTCATATGCCGCGGCGCGCGCCTTCAAAATTCACAGACACGTTTGTTGAAACATGCTTTTAGCGCTAAATAGACACTTTGACGCTGTCCATTAAATGCAGTAGAGCAAACCCTGACGGTGTATTCCCATTAGTCTACTACAGTCGACGACAAATAAATTACATTTTCAGTAAACAATCTCAGTATTGTAGGTCCCGGATTTAGATTTAACCATCTCAGTAAAAATCTCGGTAATGGTAGATCTTTGATTATGTAATCAAAGACATACATCTCTACTAAAATAAGAAATGTTGGATGTGAGCTACATACCGAACTAGCATCTCGAGTTTTAAGAGTAAAAAGACTAATGGAGTACATTAGTATTTTAATTAACCGTTAAAGAGTACTTTGACTTTTAAGATTTTAATTAACAACACTTTTCGGTTCTTCGATCTGATGTTGATAAATAATCACATTATAAACCTTGCCATATTAATACGAGCTGAATCCGTCCGATTATAATGTTTACTTACGAGGTACTTTCTAGTAAAACTAAAATACCTTTCGTTTGCATCCTTAGGCTATTGATCTGCTATCAACGTTACATGAAACTAATTTATTCATTTTAAGATATCTGATAAAATCTGTTATAACCAGAATATTAAAATATTTAGAAGTAGAAATGTAAAGTTAAATCCTATAAAAATAAAGAAATTTTTAGGAAAATCCCATATAACTTTTTACTAATCTATTTAGTATTCGTAGTTGACCCACATTTATTTTCTATACCTATTTATATGAAAATTAGATATTTATTGTTTCCTAATATCTACCAAAGCAATTCTATCAGCTGAACGCCAGCTACTTTTCTTTAATGAAATAAAAAGTTTTGATATAAAAAATATCTTTATTGTTATTAATAATTAGCCTAAAAATCAAGATCACATTTATTTCCATCGAACTCTCTCTGACTCTTTAAAATACTTAAACATAATGCAATAAGCATTAAATGAGAGACACCTGTGATAATCGAAAGATAACAATAAACTTGGTGAAAATTAAAACTTAAATTTGCGTCGTGAGAATCTTGATCTTGATTTTGAATTTGATCTTAATTTGTATAATAAAATTATTTTCTAAATGTAATAGTTGCTCACAAACTGATTGAAAAACATGAACATAAATAACAAAAAAACAAACATCATCAGCATCATCAGTAAAACTAATAAACATATTTACAATATTTACAACGAACCGACTAACTTTTGATTCAATTAGTGATGTTAAACAGTCTTATTTGCCATTAAAAAATCTCGTAAAAGACAGTCCACCTGATGGCTCCCATTTAGTATTGAAATGTGGTGACACGGACTTAGAGAAACCAGCGTTGAGGTCTACAGAGGTGGAAGGGGACTGGAACAGGTTCAGCTTGCCCATCGCTGAATAATCGGTGCGCTGCAGGAACGGAGTCCTGGCGGCGCCCAGGGTAGCACCCACTCGATCCCTGTGAGCGACAACAAATATTAATTTATTAATGCCATCATTCAAATAAAATCTTTTCAGGCTCATTTGTATTATTAACACAAAAGTCAGTGACGTTATATCTAACTGATAAAAGAAAGTTTAAATATCTTACCTAAACGTATAATCGAGATTGCCACCGACGGTGTTGAAGTTAGGCACTTGAGGAATGTTCGGCATATTTTTGGTAACGAAGGCGTTCGCATTCAGGTTGTGGTTCTCGTTGTGTAGCAAGTTCAGCTTCCCCGCGCCGGTCAACTGACTGCCGAAGCCTGGGATATTAGCCTGCGACACCGATAGCCCATGGCCGTTCCTAAAAAAAAACAAAGTGTTACACAAACAATTTAAGTAAACGTATAGATAGAAAGTCAGGGCAAATAATGCTGATAAAATAAAAGGGGCATTCTACTTACGCATTATCCCAAGCAAGTCCTTTACTAATCGCTCCCGTGGAGGACTTGGAGATTAAGGCGCTTAATGCATTCTGATCGTTTCCTGCCAACCCAATCTTGCCAGCAATGTTGGTGGTGCCGTCAGAGTTAATGGTGTAGGAGGCAGCGTTCTGACTGTGTACTCCTGCACATAACACCACTAAAACAATGACAAAGGACAACATCTTGAACATAGAGTAAGACTCACTGTGCTGTGACTCAGAATACTGAACTGCGAATGGTACAAATGTATCGCTTCTCAAATTATATACCAGAGTTTATCGCAAGAAATATTATCTTAGCTTGGATTTCCCCAAGTCCCGTATCGTCTTAGCTTTTAAGAGCGACCGCATCAAACGGGGAATCACTTATAAGTAGAAACAATTAGAGCCTATCAAGAATCTGAATTTAACGGTTTTACTTATAATAACCGGAAGAATTTAATTTTGTATAAATGTGTCCTTTAAATTGGATGATAAAGCAAATAAATAACTTAAAATATTATATTGTTAAAATAATATTATGATTGATTGATCGAAAACACCAAATATATTGTTAAACAAATATACAAAAGATTAAGAAAAATACAAAAAGAGATATCTGCTCTAAAGTATTAAAGATGAATATTATTGGAACAATATCAACTGTAAAGAAGGTTATTTTTTGTATCAGCCGTTTTGATAAATTTCGTAACGGTATAATTTTTTCTGTCTCAAACAACAAATAAACAAGAACAGTAAAAAAAAATTGATTGAACTTATTTATACCACAAACAAAAGAGGTATTGTTATCTGAGACCTTGCCCTGCCTGACAATTAGCTTATTTAGTACACGTATAAAGTCTGTAAACAATAAAAGACTCGTATTTCAAACATCAAAGTTATGAATCAATTAGTGAAATATCTGTATCCCATTCTCAATGTCTGAACTCGTGACACCTGTGCGTGACACTATTTTACTACTACAACAGATACAAAGTATAACCAATTTGATAAGTAAACAATTCATATTTTAGAGTACAAACTTGCGATTAAATATAAAAATGGCCACTAAAACGTATAAAACACTACAATTTAAATACAACATTTTCAAATAAAAAAATGACCCTATGATTATTGCTATGATTTACAATATCGTATTATTAAACCGCTTATGATGAAATGATTTAAACTGTGTTTTACAAATTAAACAGAAATAGGTATATATAACGTAAAAAATTTTTCTTGTATATACATATCAAAAAAACACATTAAATAAACAAATGTATTAGAAATAAAAATAACATAAATAAGAATTAATTAAATACCTACATATTTCATCGAGTGGACATGTCCAAGGAACTAGGGAACAAAGAAGTGAAGATAATTTATCAATGGTACCGGGGAACTCCTTTACGCTGATTTAAAAGCACGCTTCTAAGATAATGCTCTCATTCGCAGCTCAGCATCTTGTAACATCAGTAGTGAAGTAATTTGTGCGACTCGCTCTCAATATGTTGTCCTTTGTCATTGTTTTAGTGGTGTTATGTGCAGGAGTACACAGTCAGAACGCCGCCTCCTACACCATTAACTCTGACGGCACCACCAACATTGCTGGCAAGATTGGGTTGGCAGGAAACGATCAAAATGCATTAAGCGCCTTAATCTCCAAGTCATCCACGGGAGCGATTAGTAAAGGACTTGCTTGGGATAATGCGTAAGTAGAATGCCCCTTTTATTTTAACAGCATTATTTGCCCTGACTTTCTATCTATACGTTTACTTAAATTGTTTATGTAACACTTTTTTTTTTAGGAACGGCCATGGGCTATCTGTGTCGCAGGCTAATATCCCAGGTTTCGGCAGTCAGTTGACCGGCGCGGGGAAGCTGAACTTGTTACACAACGAGAACCACAACCTGAATGCGAACGCCTTCGTTACCAAAAATATGCCGAACATTCCTCAAGTGCCTAACTTCAACACCGTCGGCGGCAATCTCGATTATACGTTTAGGTAAAACATTAAAACTTTCTTTTATTTAGTTAGACATGATGTCACTGAGTATTGTGTCAGAAATGCACATGCGCTTTAAATCATTTTATTTGTATGATTGCATTAATGGATTAATGTTTTTCGTTGACAGGGATCGAGTGGGTGCTACCCTGGGCGCCGCCAGGACCCCATTCCTGCAGCGGACCGACTATTCAGCGATGGGCAAGCTGAACCTGTTCCAGTCACCCTCCACCTCTGTAGACCTTAACGCTGGTTTCTCTAAATCCGTGTCACCACATTTCAACACTAAGTGGGAACCTTCAGGAGGATTATCTTTCACCAGATTTTTCAATGGGAAATGAGACTTACACATTCGGCAACCGAATCGTAGAGTTTATCTTTCGGTTGATTTACTTTAGCTAGTCATTTTTGTAAATAATATTGATGTGAAAAATATTTTTAAGTTGAAAAACTTTCGATACTTTAACTGCTGTTAGTTTTTTCTGATGTTTAGACTGAAAAGTTCACTCCAGTCCTTCGCATAGAGTAGAGCTTTTAATGATATGTCAGTTAAATTGCATTGCATTTATATATTTAATTGTCACTAGAAACTGAGGTGTCACAAAGCTGTATGTTTTATTTAATTATTATTAAGAATTAAAAATAAATATATGGTATACGTGTAATATTTTATTTTTTCTTTAAAATAAGTCTAATTCTGCTGGTTCGTGTCGTAGATATATGTGAACCGATTTGACTATATTCGGTTTTTGATAATTTGTAGGAATCAAAGAAATAGTTTTGAACGTGAGAAAATATAAAAAATGCAAGTAAAAAAAATTCATTTTTCCATACAAACTGTTCTTAAATAGTTCTTAACTTGTCAGATAGAGAGATAATATTTAAGAAATAAATTTAATTGAATTTGACACATTATTAAAATCAACATTGGGTCAGCTACTTAACACTTATATTATAAAGAGGTTCTTAGTTTGCAGTGTCCGAAACAACTAGACCTATTATAAAAATTCGTTCTCTTATTGATATAACTATATCTATTTAAAAGTGTAATGGAAATTATTCAGAGGTGTGTGCTCCATCACGACGTATGGTATGGTATGGTATGGTATAACCATACGTATACTATACTCCATATACATGTAACTCACCAAGTGCTAGTTCAACTTTGACTTGATCGATTATTTGTACCATTTGATCTTCGTTTAATTAATATAAACGGTAAAGTGATGAAATAAACTTTCCTTCTCGATAAATTTTATGCATCCGCTCACCAGTTGTGGCCTCAAATCGGATCTTAATCGGAAGGTACATGGTTATTTATGAATTCGAATAAGAACGAAAGAAACAACTTTAAGAAAAAGATTGTCCCTAGAGTACACCTGTTAGATATTATATTCAATCAAGAGTACTTACCGACTAATGTACATCACTGCAAGCGAACTTTCGACTGCCGCGTTGTCCACAATTGTACGATCTTCTGTGAGTGATAATGCGTAAATTTCTACGGGAATTTTATATTAAAAACTTTAATTAATTTATGCGTCAGTATATTCTCAATCGTTGTGGTGACGAAAACAAAAGACGAATGATGTATGCTGTTTTCTTCATAATGTCGTCATGGCGTATAAGCGGTCAGCAGTGAGGTTGCGAACGAATATACAATCTCTTTAAAGGAGAGGGCGACACAGAACAGCAAGAAACTGAACGTACACCAGATATTCTTTTAGTGGTGCACTCATAGGCAGTGGCGGACTAAGCGGGGGCGGAGTTGGCGGTATGCCCTGGGCCTTCGGTTCTGTGGGGCCTCAAAATGGCTGCAAAATCGCTTGATCACATTATAAACTCTGGTTGGAGGCCCCGTAGACAAATGAGGAAAGCCTGTAGGGAGGCGGGGGTGCTTGCCGTCCCGGGCCCCAAATGGGATTAATCCGCCACTGCTAATAGGGAAATTAATAGAAAAAGATAAATGAATAAGTACATATACAGTAAAAACGGCTTCACCACCCTTAAAAATCGAATGATAAGTTTCTATTCTTCTGTCTCCTAGGAACCTCAGATCTACAAAACCGTCTTCTCACTGCTTATGTGAAAATCTACTTCAGACCTTCTTATTGCATAAAAAAAATCCCAGTAGATTTTAAAATTAGAGTGTTAACTAATTTGTTTGTTAACTTCGTTTTATTTGAAAAAAATAATCAAATTAATAATTTTAGTTTATATTATTTATTTGTTAAAACAGGAATATTATCATTAAATTAAATCTTAATATTATGTCTTTGTAATTTTACGTAATAAGTTTATTATAAATAGTTAATGTTTAATACCCTCATATTTTCTTTATGTAATGCTTTTCTAGTACAGAGTTGACAAATATAAGAAACAATAAATTTTTAATAACAACAACATTTTAAACATTGTGGACATGAACGATATCACAGTATATATAAAAGTATACCTATGATAATATTACACGCAGATCCAACTACAGTAACTGTATTTTACCGAAGAATCCTTATAGTTACCATTCGTTTAATTAGCAAACTCTAATAAAGAAATAATACCAGATCTTTACATTAATAAAAAAAATACTTGTGCATAATCATATTTTATTCTTAATAATAATTACAAGTACAAGTACACTAAATAAACAAAATCAGTACCTATCATATTGAGAAACTACAGCCAAACATAAAAAAATAATGGTAGCAGCTAAAATACCAAAATCAATAAAGTTAAAAATACTTTTTACAATAATTACAAATTAAACAAAAGCTATCTAATCTAATAAACAAATTTACAATTCAATTAGAAACAAAGACAGTCTTATTTCCCATTAAAAAATCTGGTAAAAGACAATCCTCCTGATGGTTCCCATTTAGTGTTGATATGTGGTGACACGGACTTAGAGAAACCAGCGTTGAGGTCTACAGAGGTGGAGGGTGACTGGAACAGGTTCAGCTTTCCCATCGCTGAGTAATCGGTGCGCTGCAAGAATGGGGTCCTGGCGGCGCCCAGGGTAGCGCCCACTCGATCCCTGTGAGTAACAAACAAACATTTAATTGGTTACGAAATCAAGGGAACTAATCAATATCTAAAAAAGTTGTTATAATAATTAATCAATGGAAATTTGAATAGGTATCTTACTTGAAGGTGTAATCGAGGTTGCCACCGACGGTGTTGAAGTTAGGTACTTGAGGAATGTTCGGCATATTTTTGGTAACGAAGGCGTTCGCATTCAGGTTGTGGTTCTCGTTGTGTAGCAAGTTCAGCTTCCCCGCGCCGGTCAACTGACTGCCGAAGCCTGGGATATTAGCCTGCGACACAGATAGCCCATGGCCGTTCCTAAAAAAAAAACAAAGTGTTACACAAACAATTTAAGTAAACGTATAGGTAGAAAGTCAGGGCAAATAATACTGAGAAAATAAAAGGGGCATTCTACTTACGCATTATCCCAAGCAAGTCCTTTACTAATCGCTCCCGTGGATGACTTGGAGATTAAGGCGCTTAATGCATTCTGGTCGTTTCCTGCCAACCCAATCTTGCCAGCAATGTTGGTGGTGCCGTCAGAGTTAATGGTGTAGGAGGCGGCGTTCTGACTGTGTACTCCTGCACACAACACCACTAGAGCAATCGCAAGACACAACATCTTGAACATAAAGTAAGACAGTTGACTTCACTGTGAGGATTCAGAAAGCTGAAATGTGAATGATGATAATGGAGTCCATCTCGTGTACTTATACTAAAGTTTATCTTTACTTGGATTTCCCCAAGTCCCGTGTCGTTTTAGCTTTTAAGAGCGACCGTGCTAAACGGAGAATCACTTATAAATATAAACAAATAGGCTGTTTTTTGTATCATAAATTTAATATTAACGATTACTTGTCTAGACTCATGTGAAAATAAGAAAAGATTTGGTTGTTATTTTTTACATCGGATCTAATTAACGCGCGGGAAGACGCCGGAAAACAACTAGTTACTGATACAATTATATTTTTTTTAATATTGACAGCCATTCAACAAAATTTTTGCAAAATAATAAATTTTATATGATCGATAAAAGAATACTGAGTCATAAATCGAAATACTTACTACCCTAGCATATTTTATAGAAATATATATGTGCTCTCTGTTTCATTACTAATAACTGTTCTCCGATTACATTATTTAATATAATTGTTAGGATTCAGACAAATGACTGATACACTTTTAGTTATTTCATTGTTAAGTGTAAAGGTTTTTGAATCAGCAGACGTGACGCAGCATTTAATGAATGTTTATAAAGTTAATATTCACAAGTAAATAGGAGCAAATAATCTTAAACAAATTGCTCGAATAACTCAGAGCCTTGGTTCCCGAGAGGTCAAAGACCTTTTACCCGGTGGGTACAAGACGCAGGCTCTAATTTTGCCTAAGGATATTTTTTTCACAATGTATAAATTCTCGGTTCGATTAGGTATTCACCCAAAGAATGTGTCTTTGTAAAGAATTTAAAAAAAGAACAAACTTAAGTAATTACAGGTATGAATCAACGTGTGAAACATCTGTATCCCATCCCAATGACATGTTACATAAGCGTTGATAATGTCTAAAGTCGTGCAATTATGACACTATCATACAGATAATAAGCATTATATTGCTTAAATAATATATTATATAATCTAAGTAACAAATTATAAAATCTAATAATAACACAAGATCTATCAAAAATTCACAACAATCATATACTAAGTATTTTATGTGATATTTTAAATTTATATTTGAAATTCTCGAAATATTCATGCAATAATTTACAATATTGACCTGTTAAACAGCTCGACCAAACAGTATAAGTTACAATCAATATAATACACCAATGGCCAAATGATTTTTCAAATATGTATAAAAAACACATATTTCAAAATTTTTATCGATAACATTTTTATTGTATTGAATAAACTTCATCGAAACATTATTTATCCAAGAAATGGGGAAGAACATAAGTTAATTGATCATAGATAATTTGTTTATTGTAATACGAGTATATCGGGGAATCCCTCTGCACTTATTTAAAAGCACGCATCTAATACAACGATCTCATTCACAGCTCAGCATCTAATCGCATCAGTAGTAAAGTAAATCGTAACAGCTCGCATCCAAGATGTTGTCTTTTGCAATTGCTCTAGTTCTGTTGTGCGCAGGAGTACACAGTCAGAACGCCGCCTCCTACACCATTAACTCCGACGGCACCACCAACATTGCTGGCAAGATTGGGTTGGCAGGGAACGATCAGAATGCATTAAGTGCTTTAATTTCCAAGTCATCCACGGGCGCTATCAGCAAAGGCCTGGCTTACGACAATGTGTAAGTAAAATGCGCTTGTTGTTTAATTTTAATTGTTTTACTTGTTCTTTTTAGATGATTTTTAACTTTATAGTGTTTGTTTATTAACTTAAATCCTTTTCAGGAATGGTCACGGGCTTTCTGTATCGCAGACGAACATCCCTGGCTTCGGCAGTCAGTTGACCGGCGCGGGGAAGCTGAACTTATTACATAACGAGAACCACAACCTGAATGCGAACGCCTTCGTTACCAAAAATATGCCGAGCATTCCTCAAGTGCCTAACTTCAACACTGTCGGAGGAAATCTCGATTATACCTTCAAGTAAGACATTCACACTTCCTTTGGTTAATTATTATAACATTTATTAACATTGGTGACTTAGATGTACTATAAAATATTAGACTTTTAAGTCCCGCCTGCATTTGCAGTCGTTTATGTCTTCCGCATTGGGCCAGCGTGGAGGGTCATAGCCCATCCTCATTAACCATCCATAAGGAAGGCCTGAGCCCCTGTAGTGGGAACGTAAAAGGGCTGATGACGATGATGATGATAAAGTACCATGATTTCCTTAACTGACTAAAGTCTTTGTTTGTTGCTAACAGGGATCGAGTGGGTGCTACCCTGGGCGCCGCCAGGACCCCATTCCTGCAGCGCACCGACTATTCAGCGATGGGCAAGCTGAACCTGTTCCAGTCACCCTCCACCTCTGTGGACCTCAACGCTGGTTTCTCTAAGTCCGTGTCACCACATTTCAACACTAAGTGGGAACCATCAGGAGGATTGTCTTTCACCAGATTTTTCAGTGGGAAATAAGGCTGTCATTTTCGTCAATCGATTTACAATCTTGGTAAATCGGATGTTTGCTAGTCGTAAATATTGTAAATATGGACACTTTAAGCTTTAAAGAATTCTTCTTATTATTAAATGTATTGTATTTATGCAGATATCTGCAATTTTCATCAGAAAAAAAGATAGTTTTGTAAATATACTTTAATAATTTTGGAGACAGCGAGTGTGTTACAAAACCGTGCGTTATATTATATTCATTTCATTAAGGTAAATTAATAAAAATAATAATAAATAAGATCAAAACATTCCTCTTCTGTTTTTTTTTAAATACTACATAGATGGTAACTTACTTTTATGCTATTTTATGCAATGTCATTGTTGAGACAGCGTGTATTAGCCAACAAACACGCGGAACCTTAATCGAAAAGTATGCGATTAGTTGTGAATTTATAGCTAATAGAAGATAATATTGTGTACTCTAGGACACGTGACAGAACTCTGATATACAATCGAGAGTACTTAACGACTTATGCACACCGCTGTCCCCAATTATAATGGTCTTCTGACTGTATATAATCGTTATATAATTTGCAGAAATTGTATTTAAAATTTAATTAAAATCGGCTCAATATTTGTGTCAAGTTGCGCTATAAAACAAAAATAACGCTGCTGGACGGTTTTAAGATAGTTTTACTTAATGACTTCGCATTTAAATGATTATTTTAAATCAAATTTTTGAAAAATTATTTGAGTTATTTAAAATATATCAATATGGTTTAGATTTTCTAGGATATAATTAGAATTATTTTTCTTCATCGTCTTGAAAGTCTGATTGCGTAAACTCCTTTTAACGTTTGTCATTGGCAGAGGGATCGCATAAACAGCCAAAAATAAGTAACTTTAAACAGATTTAGTGTTTAAAAGGCAAAAATAAAATGAATAATTACAACCGATCATTGATTATTATGTTTCAGTGTACCTTAATAATAAAAAAGTTACAAAAATACTATAGTTTTTTATTTCTATTATAGCCATTATTGCTGCTAACTTCATGTGTATAGTCTCAATATTAAACGCAATCCTAATTCAATTCCAATACTCAAGAGTTGCGTTTTAAGATTACTAGTTAAGATCCTATAAAAATTGAGATTGTTATTGGATTGGATTGCAATTGACATTAAAATTGCGTTCATGAGTAAGCCTGCAGTTATAGAAGCATGAAAACCTTTATTTTGAAAGACAAACATCTATTCTCCTATCTTTTTGTCCGTTCATAGCTACTACTGTCACTACAGACGGTTGTAAGTATTTTAATACTTTAAATTTACTTCTTATATTCCCTTGGCTACGTCAAAAAATCACATGTTTTTAACCGACTTCCAAATGATAAAGGAAGAAGTTCTATATTTGACTGCTAAATATTATTCTTTTATATATCTTCACCGATTTATTGGCTTATTGTAAATATTTATTTTATTCGAAAGCTTATGACCTTAATGAGGTGTTCCCATAATTTTTTTTCTCAAAAGCAGATTAGCGGTTATGGTTTTGCTAAATAATAAATTACTTACCTAACTTATGAGTATAATATAGCAGGTGACAAAATTGCGTATTTTCATTTCCTATGAGTTGTCCTATTATTTGTAGGACTATATTACTAGATTTTACATTGTGTTTATCAGAAATTATTGTTATGGTTTTGCGGCAAAAATAAAAATGTCTTCAAAAATGTTTTAAATAATACTTATCTGAAAGGCATTTCATATGTTCAGGCAACTTAAGTCAAACGGTTACCAACGCGAAACCTCCGCCTAATTTCAATAGATGATGCTTGAACTTATGAATATAATTAAAATAAATATTATTTTAAACTTTTAAGAAATTGGATATTGTTTTTTACAAAAAAATATAAATCGATGACTTGTTATCTTGTAAGTTAATCAACTTATAATTTAGCAGTTGCTGTTGCATGTTAATATTTTTGTAGAAAAAAATCGTTGCAGGTGTGCACTGAAAATAGAATTCCCAATACATTACCACTAAAAAACTTTATAATTTATCAATTGAATCCTTTTCATTTGCCGTCTATGAATGTAATAAAACCATTACCAATTTTAATAATAACTCTACGTATAATGATATGGACTTGGACGCTATCACGATAAAAATGTACCTACAAATTTAAATTTATTTCATAAATTTAATTCATAAATTTGGCAGAATTCCAATCGAAGTCTTGTCGAAAATCACATGTATTCATAATCCAGTTTCACAGTAGGTTGCCTGGGAGAAATTGCTGTTAAGCAATAAGGCCGCCATTTGTTTACTCAGTGTTTTTAAATAATAAGCACCTGTAAAACATTGTATCATATTGAGTGCAATAAAGTATATTATTATTATTATGTATTCTTAAACCACTGTTATTGTAGGGGAACCGTTACGGTGAGTCATTCCGCTGAAACTTAGGGGAAAGTTCTCTACGGATATTAAAGAAAGTACACTCCACTTATATTAAAGAAATTAAAAAAAATACACATATTTATTAAGGAAATATTTTTTTATTGTTACGAATATTCATGACTATTCTTAACATATACTTAATGACTCTGACTTTCACTTCAATAATAAATATATAATAAAAATATAGTCAGTTGAAGAAACTATCGATACAATAATTTAATAAATCAATGTTTTTTAATTACAGCCTGTTTGATGGTAACAATATCGAGAACACTGTATAATACAAATGTGTATTGTATTGAGAAAATACGAGTAGTATAAAGATTGTAGAGTTAACATAAATGAACGTAAACGTATGTAAACAAAAAACTAGCCCCCAGCTAAAATACAGCAATCATTAAAGGTTAAAATACTTTTTACATTATTTACAATATTTACAAGTTAATCAAACAAAGGCTAATAATCTAATAATCACCTTTTCAATTCAAAACAAAGACAGTTTTATTTCCCGTTGAAAAATCTAGTGAAAGACAGCCCTCCTGATGGCTCCCACTTAGTGTTAAAATGTGGTGACACGGACTTAGAAAAACCAGCGTTGAGGTCTACAGAGGTGGAGGGTGACTGGAACAGGTTCAACTTGCCCATCGCTGAATAGTCGGTGCGCTGCAGGAATGGGGTCCTGGCGGCGCCCAAGGTAGCACCCACTCGATCCCTGTGAGTAACAAACGAACATTTAATTGGTTACGAAATCAAGGGAACTAATCAATATCTAAAAAAGTTGTTATAATAACTATTCAATGGAAATTTGAATAAGTATCTTACTTGAAGGTGTAATCGAGATTGCCGCCGACGGTGTTGAAGTTAGGCACTTGAGGAATGTTCGGCATATTTTTGGTAACGAAGGCATTCGCATTCAGGTTGTGGTTCTCGTTGTGTAACAAGTTCAGCTTCCCCGCGCCGGTCAACTGACTGCCGAAGCCTGGGATATTAGCCTGCGACACAGAGAGCCCATGGCCGTTCCTAAAAAAAAACAAAGTGTTACACAAACAATTTAAGTAAACGTATAGATAGAAAGTCAGGGCAAATAACGCTGATAAAATTAAAGGGGCATTCTACTTACGCATTATCCCAAGCAAGTCCTTTACTAATCGCTCCCGTGGATGACTTGGAGATTAAGGCGCTTAATGCATTCTGATCGTTTCCTGCCAACCCAATCTTGCCAGCAATGTTGGTGGTGCCGTCAGAGTTAATGGTGTAAGAGGCGGCGTTCTGACTGTGTACTCCTGCACATAACACCGCTAAAACAATGACAAAGGACAACATCTTGAGCACAGAGTGAAAAAGTTGATTTCCCTCTGAGATGCTGAGCTGAGAATGATGCTAGTGAACCACATCTCAAATATATATACACCAAAGCTTATCGACGCATAAAACATTTATCTTTATTTGGATTTCCCCAAGTCCCTGTATCTTCGCAGCTTCTAATAACAACCGTGCTAACGGGGAATCACTTGTAAGTATTGATAAGAAGAGCATATTAAAATGTAAAATCTTACTAATCAATTAAAATTTTTAGTGGTCGGTTATAACTCAAAAAAATCCTACGTAACGGAATTTTAAAAAATATACTGAACCACATAAATTTCTATATTTTCGAATACAATTTCCACAACATAATACATTATCACTTACAGAAGGTCCACTAAGACCTGAATGATCATAAACCGGTAAGTACTCTTGATTGTATATCAGAGTTCTCTAACATGTACTCTAGTCATTATATCCGTAAAAATTAGTAAAAAGAACCTGTAACAAACTTAACGCTTATACATAAAGTAGTTTGTTTAAGATCAGATACTGATGCGATTTCAACAACTTCTAATATAGGTATTTTTATTTTTGCTAAATTTAATTGGAATCATTATAGACGTTACGATTGTTAACGTAAAGTTATAACAACGTAAAAATATTACTTAATTCTTAACTTAATAGAAATAAGGCTTTTTAAAATTCACTTTATTCTTAGCTTATAAAAAAAATCAAAATGAGCTTTCTTTTAATGTAACTTGGGTGTGAACATAAATTCATAAACCTTAAATAATTAAAAAAGTGCAAATCTCAAGTGATTATTCTTAATACTTAAGTTATTTACATTTTATATGGCAAAAAGTCCTAATTTTGTCAAATGCTGTCAACTGATTATTAAAAAAAATTAAAATCAGCCATGCGATTCTGTAAACGTATTTCTAACATCGGAAATCTGAATCCGCGGTGAGATTAAAATTTCGTATTCTGTATAACTCGAAAACGCCGCTAGTACCTCACTGTAGGACGCGGAGTGAATTGAACTAAGTATACGAAAGTATAATAATATAATATAATAATAATAATATAATATATTTATTTCTGCATAAATATGGAAAGTACAAGATGTTACAATTTATATTCTAGTTAACAGACATATTTACCAGAAACTGGCATGCAGAAGAAATTATAACAATTAAGGAATTACAATAATAATCATAAAATTAATCAAATGTCAATTAAATTTCATCAACGTAAAAGTAAGATTTAAAAAATGTCATATACAACACAATAATACCTAGTAGTTTAATAATTCATAATTTTGAGATAATATGTCAACATTTATATTCAAAATATTCCTTTAAGCTATAAAAACAATTCGCCGTAAGCCATTCTTTTAACTCAGACTTGAATATACTAAGCCTGTCGTTTTTAGATTTTATTGGCAGCTTATTAAAAATTTTGATTTGACATAGGATAAGTACTTTTTTGCCACATTTCCGTTTTTATCAAAGGTAGCTGCAATTTGTTTGGATATCTAGTGGTAAACTTACGAGGAATATCATCATAACGTTCGATAAAAGTGCGGATTATTCCTAACAAAAACACATATTTCATAAATGTATTAGCAAGGGACCGTTAGTATTTTTGAGATTTTAAAAAGTGGTCTACAAGATACCATATTTTTTACATCACATATGGCTCGAATGCATGATTTTTGTGCAATTATTGCTTTATTTATATTACAAGAATTTCCCCATATTATCATACCGTATCTCAATATTGAGTCTACGTGTCCATAGTAAGCTATAAGAGCAGTTTCTTTGTTTGAAATCTTAGTAAGCTTCCACAAGGCATATGTGAAAGGATTTATTTTTTTACATATTTTATCTATATGGTCTTTCCAAGTCAAATGTTTATCTATAATTAAACCTAAAAATTTTACACTATTTTTTTCCTGCACTATTTGGTTGTCATATTATATTTTAATATATTTTTTTTTTACCATTTCTATTTACAAATTGTATATATTCTGTTTTAGATAAATTCACTTTGAGATTATTTTCTTTTAACCAAGTTACTAAAGCTTCTAGTGTTTTATTTACTTCTATATTATAGTCATTATTTTTATTATTTGGTATAGCAACAGATACGTCATCGCCAAATAGTATGCATGGGTAATTTGTCACATTTGGGAGATCGTTAATGTACAATAAAAATAGCAATGGCCCACGTATACTTCCTTGTGGCACTCCAGACACAATTTCTTTTTTATTAGACTTATAGTAAACTTCTGTTTTATTTTGATCTAGGCTACATATTTCTAGTAAAAGTAAATAGTGAAAGTAGTATACGAAAAAATGTGTACTAAGTATACGAAAGTATATTGAAATAAGTATTCTTATACTCTATAGTCATCTCGAAGCTCGGACCACGAAATCGTTATGAATAAATTAGGTACTCAAAAGGTCTAACAAGATTTAATACGAAAACTGTTGCGTCATTTCATTTACGTTTTGTTTAATTTCATTTCATTTAATACTTTGAATAATATTTCGAAAGCGAAAAATAATTATCACTGAATATTTATATATCTAAAGCATTTATTGTAATGGAAAGTGACTTCATAATCTAATGAAGCCATTTTCAATAAGACTTCCCTGTATAAAATAAAACAGGGAGAAAAAAGCAGCTCTTGCTGAGTTTCTTGCCGGTATTTCTCAGTGTAAGGTCTTCCGTCGTAGTTTTGCGAACCGTTGGAGTATTTTTCGAATTTCATAAGTGCTATATAACAGCCTAACTGAATAAACGGATTTGATTTGTAAATTATTCATTTTAAAATATTTTATTTATCCGTTTATCTGTACGGTAGGACTAGTAAAATTAATTTGTCAAAACGCTTATATCAATAGTTAACACAATCAACCCTTATCTAAGGTAGATGTCATAGTGAATGGGTCACGAATGGTTTTTATAACCAGTTAATTCACAACTTAGATGATAAAGTTCATGTTACTTTGTAATTTATATACTAGCTTTCCTCCAGCAGCTTCGCCCGCGTTCACTCGGTATATTGATGAAGACAGTATTAAGACAAAATAAGACAATATTTAATAACGCATTCATATCAAACATACACACAACACACACACACACACACTTATATTACTTTTTATATATTTGTCGCATCATCTTTATGAAGATCGTTTGATTTAGTTTCTTTTTTTTTATTGCTAGTTACTCGATTACTTAATTACTCGATTGTAGAGAGGGCGTGATCATCGATACTTTTAATTTTAGTAGAATGGTGACACTGACTTTGACAGTTCGTTAACAAAAAGCAAATTGCCGCCATTTTGGCACACATTCTGTTTCCGATCGCTGAGAAGTAAAGACATCCGACGACATCACGCTCATCTCGTTATATTTTCTTATGAAAAGTGATACAATGGAATAAATCCACGTTAGTATACACGCCTGCAGTGTTATTTTAAAGATAGTCCTCTGATATGGACGATCTATTTGGGCTTCGTAACAGCCCCTTCTGACTAGCCGCCGACATATTAAATATCACTGGTACCTCATAATAATTTTCGCCTGGTTCAGGATTGGAGAAGCTGGTTATTTGTCATACAGTTCTACTAGTACAGATACCAGTCTCTCGCATAGATTATAAAATTTTTCTAATTAGTTTTTAAGGAGGTTACTATACTGTGATATCTATTTGAGAGAACAAATAAAGTTTATTCAAGTTTAAAAGTAAAGTTTATTATTATTTGCCTTAGATAATTCCAAATAACGTTACGATCATAATCGGTATCACATAGTTATTAGTTTGAGCATAAGGTGCGTGAATAATTTTCAAATGTCATATTGAAAGGGATTGTGATGTATTTTAAAATTATACAATTAGGGCACTTTATTTCAACTCCTAGATTTGGTCATATTAAGTATAGATGTATTGAGAGTAAATAGTCCATCATTTGTTTTTGAATGCCATTACGTATTTTCAACCAGTAATAGTCATTGAATTGATGTTAATATGGAAAGACCTTTACAAACAGTGCAACAACAAACGGAAATTAATCAGGAACCCGATTCTACTAAGTAAATTTTGTTTAAATCGAATCGAAAACGGAAGGAAACCGAACTATGCTGCTGATTTTAGTGATTATTACAACGTGTACACCGCTAAGCAATTGCCTCGGGTGGGATTCATACCTGAGTCTTCAGCCAAAATGAAATAGGGTTCGACTGCTGAACCACCAAAGTAAACACAAAGCGGGTGTAAGTTAAATGCATTGTGTATGCATTTAACTTACACCCGGTTTCTGAATTGAGTACTGAAAGTTGAGGACAAATCAAACTCTTATTAATCCGCACTTAAACAGGTTTTCGTTTCTGATTTTAGTTTTTTTAATGAGAGCTGTTTGTTGAAACTAAAAATGTTAGCCTTGAGAAAAGTAAAAAACTGAAGTTATTGAGAATAATCAATCAGTTGAGAATCTATACTTTTCTTAATCCAAAAACCGGCCGATGTTTTAATCAATTGTTCTGTTTTACTCTAATTAAATATAATTATTGCTATCCAATCACATTACAACGCCGATTCATACCTCCCTAACAAAACCGATGTCAATTTTGACAAATTTAATTTTAATATTGGTATTTGAATTCAGTTGAATGATTTAAAAGCCTAACATAAACAATTCAGTGAATGAAGAATTTTCTAAGGAATCAAGAATATCTCATATCCGTCATAATAAATCACTAGTCTACATTTTGAGTAACTGTATAAATCGAGGTTTATCTTCAGAAATTATTACAGTTATTATCTGGTAGCAAAAAATGCGACCCCTTAGTCGCTTATCTCCCGTGCTAGTCGTAAAAGGTTCCAGGGGTGCAGATTTTATATTCCTCTGGAAGCAGCATTATACCAAATACAAAGTTGGTTTGTTTTTTATAAGAATCTATTTAAATTTTAATCAATCACCTGGTCTTGACTTACTGAGTGATTGAATGACTACCAATACCACAAGTTAATATATTGATAGTGTATAGTGTTGAACACGTAGTATTATTATTATAATATGTCGCTATAGGATTAGGATTCATGAAAACAATTTAAAAAACGATAATATCATCTAAATATAATTTTTAATTCCAATATTTAATTTCAATAACATAGTTTTATGATTACATATTATTTACAATTTTTATAGTAATATATAATACTGCGTTTCAGAATCACCAAAATTTGTTGAATGATAAAACGCCTGATGGTTGCCAGTTGGTGTTGAAATGTGGGGACATAGACTTGGAGAAACCAGCGTTGAGGTCAATGGATGACGTGGGCGTGTGGAACAGGTTCAGCTTGCCCATCGCTGACAAATCGGTGCGTTCCAAGAATGGAGTCCGAGCAGCGCCCAGGGTGGCACCGACCTTGTCCCTATAAAGTTAATTCATTAACTACTAGGAAGTAAATGGAAAGGTATCAGATAATTAAAAGAATAACAAGTTACCACAAAAAATATCTTAGTAAACGATTGAAGAAACGAATAGATATTTCACTATCATTTCATATTCAAATTTATTAATTACCTATGACGTTGGTAAATATGAAAAATCCATGGAAATATCTAATTAGATAACTGTAAAATTACTAGATAGACTGAACGCGAACTTCGTAGAGCGTAACTTTGCATGACTATATTTAAAGTATTAAATGCCGAAAAAGACAACTTAATTTGATATCAATACTTAAAGCAAACTAAAATTGCACTCTCACTCTATCAATTAACAAATATATCGAAAGCATAAATTGAATTGGAATTAATTGAATTGAAATGAAATTAAAAGGAATTGGAATTGAAATAAATAAATTTGAATTGTTAAATGAAATATTAATTAATTAAATTGAATTATTATTTTTACTAACGGTAGAATTAAGTCTGATTGTTACTAACACCATATGGATGTAAAATCTGAAATAAATTATTATTATTATTATTATTATAAATTAAAGGCAAAAGTAGTTGATCACCATCACGTAGGATAGCCAGGATATGTCTTAATACATTTAATAATGTACTGTTCTTTTTTAACCTACTTCTTTAATTTCCTGTGTGTTTGTACTAAACTTTAAAAGATATGACCTACGTAACATTCTTCCAAATACCATGTCGAGTAAATAAAAAAAAATCTTACTTGAACATATAATCCAAATTGCCTCCGAAAGTATTGAAGTTGGGCACTTTGACTTCGGGGATGTTAGGCATATTCTTGGTGACGAAGGCGTTAGCATCCAAATGATGATTGGCATTGTTAATTAAATTCAACTTTCCAGCGCCAGTCAACTGTGTGCCGAAGCCGGGAACGCTTGCGTGTTGCAACGACAGGCCGTGACCATTCCTGAACAATATAAAATGGAAACCATAAAATTGAACATATTATAAATCGCTAATCCTTAGTGCTAATGAAAACATTAAGTAACACCGCATACATTACTTAATTTGCAAGTTAAGTAATTTAAATAAATGTGTAACCAATATTCATACTGTTGTTTCATCAACAATGGTACCATAATCCACAGATATTATTCAGGCTACCATAGCATCATCGGGGCCACTAGTCACTGGACCAAGTCGAAGAAGGGACTAGCTTGTTAATATTTATGTAAGAACACGGCTGACAAACAGCCACTATTTGAAACAAATTATATCACGAACATGCACTATTGTATTATGACACATATCGATTCTTAATATAATATAGTCAAAAATCCATAGCAATTTGTATTTTGAACCTAATACTCACGCATTATCTAGAGCAAGTCCTTTGCTCATAACTCCAGTTGAGGACTTGGAGATCAAAGCACTGATGGCATTCTTGTCGTTATGAGCTAAGCCGAATTTGCCAGTCATAACTGAGGATCCATCTGAGTTGATGGATAAAGAAGCAGCGTTATGTTGGCTGTACACTCCTGCGCACATCAATACGAGAGTTATCAGGAGAGACAACATCTTGAGAGGTAAACTACGCCCTTGGATGCACAACTTTAGATGAAACAAAACGCTGGAAAGTGAATGATGTTCAACCGTTTATGCGTTTCGCTTTTATATGAATGTGAGGGAGAATCCCAATTATCAGCGTTTGAGGTTACGATAAAGCTAAATAATTATTCTATAAATATAAATTGTGTTAAACGCAGTAGGTATTTTTGAATTTTAAACACATTACATTACACATCGAAGGAAACAATGTTTTTATAAAATAAATCAGCAAATCAGAGACACTTCTTTGAGTATTTTTTTAAAATACTTCAATCACAATATTTAAGTTCAGTCCGCGAATCTAAAATAACCAGCAGTATTACTAATTGCACAACAAAACTCATCAAATCATTCATACAAAGACAGCTCAAGGAAAAAAAAAAAAATCATTCATACAATTCGCCATGTTATTAGCAATTTTATATTGTGTGCACTAGCTGACCTGTGTTTTGCCATATAATATGAGTTGGACCACCCTTCACTGACATCTTACTACTCACTGGTATAAAAAAATAAACAACCTATTCTCAAACATACTGAATATGCGTATAAAATTTTATCAAAATCGGTCAAACCGTTACGGAGGTATATGGTAACAATAAGTATGACACGAGTATTTTATGTTCCAAATAACATTTTTCCTATACTTCAGTGATGTGGAGCACATTGTGCCATGGGACCATATCATTGGATAATTTTGTTTTTTTTTAATGTTAGGAATTTGCTGTGATTCTTTAATATTAAGAGATTTCTAAACGATTATTTATTTGAAATTGGTTATTCGAGCTCCTCTGTGTGTTTGCAATCTATAAGGTAAAGAACTATTTTATGTTTAAGTTTAATAGCAATATTTGCCTATTTTCTGTTACATTTGCGATTCTCAATTCAAGGCCTTATGCCTTGAATGCAATGTGACATTTCTTCTTTTAATTTTTATTATCACTAGAATATTAAAGTCCGAAATTTTAGCACTCAGGCCTTCCCTATGGATAGAATCGAATCAAATCGAATAGGCAGAATTGGCCATGAACCACTACACGGTCACGGTACGGATTGGTGGATGATGAGGGACCAACGGTTTAATGTTCCTCCGAAGTACAGGGGAGCTCTACAGAAAATTTTTGCTCACACAGCCATTGTGAAAATTGCTTAACAACCATATCGCAGACAGAGCGCGCTAACAACTGCACCATTGAGCTTCTTTTAATTTAACAAGCTTTTATTTAACTTGCAGTATACGAATATGTATGTATGTATTTGAGTATATTCGCCAAACTTCACAACGGAATTCCTCAACCGATCATCTGTATATTTATATGGCACTACATAGTTAGCTAAATTAAATTATTTAAAATTTAATTGGCCCGGTCCGGGTTTTCATTTTTATTAGTGGTATCTTAAAAACAATCACTCAAATATAGAACCTAGAATATAACTATTACTAGAGTTAAATACCACAAAAGAAAAAACGGACCTCTTACAGAATCGCTCGGTTGTCCATCCATCTCTTTGTCCCGAAAGATCTTCTACATCCAAAACCAATTATATTTTCTAATGAAATAAAGAGATCGATATATTTTATTGACATTGTTTTACTTTATTATTGACATCAGAATAATAGCTTTATTTATTTAACTCGACAACCCAACCCATAACTTTACCACAAACTCTACACATTAGTCAAATTATGAGGCTTGGCTGTTTTGCTTTTGGCACACGAGCGTAACGTTCTATCTACTATATCACTGTACTCTTCACTTTATATAGTGTATATTTTTATATTTGTGTTTTAAATACATCTTTTAAAAAACTAGAAAAACTATGGTAGTTAGAATTATTTATTAGTATTTTTTGTTATAATTTATGTATGTATATGCTACAGTTGAACTACAGTTTTTTAAATAGAACGCGTCTTTCCCAGTTAGAACTAGTTTTAACTAAATGCTTTTGTTAAAACTAGAATTAACGAATTCTAAAAGTATATATTAATTAAAACTAGTTTTTACAAGACAAGATGCATTCCTGTCATTTTATTTTGTTATCTGTTAAAAAATTACTTTCCAAATTAAGAACGATCACTACGCTACGCTATGCGGTCGTTTCAAATTCAAATTTCTTCAAATTCCTTTCAAATTTCTGACCCGTCACGTGATCCAGAGAACCAAAATAACTCCATTGTTTATCATTTTTTGTTGTTATTAACTATTGCAGCATCAAACGTCGAAATCGTAATCGTTTCTCTAGTGCTAATTTTAAGAAAAGCTCGAAATGATAACTAGATAAATTCTAGTTTTGACTGGGTACTTCTAGTTTTAACAAAAGCATTTAGTAAAAACTAGTTCATATTAGGAAGAATGGGTTTAATCTAAAAACTGGTTTTAACTGTAGCATATATGTCTTTTAGTTCCTCAGAATACTGCAGTTCAGAATACTGTAGTTTAATATCGGAGTATTACTGGATTTAATACTGTTATGAAATTAGGGTAAATTACCCATGGATAAAAAGAGGGTTACTTCAATTAAATATTTTATTTACAAAAAAAAAACAAAGAGAGATGTGTGAGGCTATTACTGAGAGCAAGGAGTATATCAGTGGTGAAAGTGTTCCGGTGAAGGCCTGTGTCAACGGCTAAGTTCCGTTGATGTCGTTGAAGTGCTTCACAGAAGTAGCTGACGTCAGCTCGAGGGGACAGCTATGTTATCCAGGAGTCTTGAGCGGCGTTGGGATCTGAAGCGTAGATTCGACGAGGCGTATTCTTCCGGTGCGTCGAGCAGGAGGTCCTTCAACAGCCCCGAACTAAGCAGCAGCTCAGGAATCAATGCGTTAGTTAGCCTCCAGGAGAGGAGGTTTTGGGATAAATTTGCAGGTGGTGAGGTACTGAAGGAGGTTACAGCGGAGTAATGAGTTGTCCTTGTAGTTTAGCTAAAGCCAGTATGGTGTCTTACGACTTTGAGACCGTGACTTTGAAGAGTTAAAAAGGCGTATTAAAAAGGCCTTTTTCCTGGGAACAGGCCTTTTATGAATTTAGGTAGTTCAGGGTGCAAGCTAGCTTAGGCAACTGTTGCCATTGAAGTGATCCAAGAACTACACGGGCAAGTCTTTAAATATCCGAAGACGAGTTCAAATTTGGAAAGGGTAAGTCGACAGAAATATGAGATGAAAATTCGTAGAGGTTTAGATAAATTTATAATACAGGACTTTAATTATAACAGGTATAAAATTGAAAGTCCACAGTCATAGAATGAACAGAGTGAAGAATATAAATGGAATAAAACTAAAAAGCTGATCGATACGAACATAATTAATGATATGCATCTAAATAATGATAAAGATACGAAAGGTTAGTAACGACAATACAGTTTGTTTTTACGTTTGTTTTTACTATTAAAATTTTAAATAAAATTAGAACAATCATAATTATAAGCTCGGTGGCGTAGAGGATAAGCGCCGCCGCCCGTGATCGTTGTTGTTAAGCAAGTTTCGCCAGGGTCGGTTTACGGGATGGGTGACCAAAAAATTATTAACTCGAGCTACTTCGTGCTTCGGAAAGCACGTTAAGCCGTTGGTCCCGGCTGAATTTGCAGTCGTTAATACCCTCCAACCCGCATTGAGCAAGCGTGGAGGATCATAACCTATCCTTCTTAACCATCCATAAGAAAGGCCTGAGCCCCTGCAGTGGGGAGGTAAAAGGGCTGATGATGATGATGAATAATTATTACGTAATATTATAAAGAAACTGCAGAAGTGTGCTATTATTGCAGTTTCCTTTAAGTCTTTATGATATATTTATTAGTTTAAGGATCTTTTAACAGATGTAAATTTCACTACAATTAAGAAATAAAAATCCATCATTATATCAAAAATATATTTTGTTTCCAATATAATATTTACAATACATTTCAATTAAAGAAAATAATTAATTAATATCACAATTTACAATGTTTCCAAATATAAATACTATTTTATAAAATCACCAGAATTTGGTGAAGGTCAATCCACCTGAAGGTTGCCAGTTGGTGTTGAAGTGTGGGGATATTGACTTGGAGACACCAGCGCTGAGGTCTATAGATGACGACGGTGAATGGAACAGGTTCAGCTTGCCCATCGCTGAGTAATCGGTGCGATCTAAGAATGGAGTTCTAGCAGCACCAATGGTAGCACCAACTTTGTTCCTGTTAATAAAACATGCTGTTAATAGCTAATGAAAATAAACGGAACTGTCATTGATGCAAATAACATATTACACCTTTTCTACTTTCTGAATATTAAAGAATCGTTTGAAATAAAATTTATATTCGTCTAATTCAACATTTTTTGGCGGACATTTATAAAGTTGTTCAGTTCAGTTCAAAAAATTCAAGTCCGAAATATTAAGTTCACTGACAAGTACTAAAGTAAAATATAGCTTAAAACTATAAAAAGGATTCCGCCTATTTCTTTTTAACCTATAAGTAAATAGTGAAGTATTGCTACCAATATAAAAATATTATCCAGATACAGTCACGCTTTCGTTAAAATATCCAAACTCTGAGCTATATTCCTTGGTGCATTTTTATAAACGGAAAGTCAGTCTTTGTTTGCTAACAAAATTGTACATCTACTTTGTTATCAGTGCGTAGGTGACCTCTATTAATACATATGTTATACTAGCTATTTTACCACGACTTCGACCACGTAAATTATAGCGTATGTCACCGCCGTATAATCTAGTAATCGGTAGGTGAAAGAGTTTTAAAGATCGGTCCAGTAGTTTCAGGTCCTATTCGTTGCAAACATACAATGGAATCTTTGCTCTTTACAATATTACTGAAATATTGTAGCTTATAGTATTAACTATAATCTATCTTTCTGTAAATATAGAATGTCTTACTTGAACATATAGTCCAGATTGCCTCCATAAGTGTTGAAGTTGGGCACTTTAACTTCGGGGATGTTAGGCATATTCCTGGTGAGGAAGCCGTTCGCGTTCAAATTATGGTTGGCATTGTTAATTAAATTAAACTTCCCAGCGCCAGTCAACTGTGTGCCGAAGCCTGGTACACTTGCGTGCGTCAACGACAACCCGTGGCCACTCCTGAGCAAAATAAAAATCTATCAATATCGAATACGTTTGAAAGATTAGCTTTGTTGCTGACCTCGTAAAGAATGAAAGATATTATGCAGCAATCACATCACTGCCTCAGAGGATAGATTGTAACCTTATAAGCAAAAGCTTACAACTACATATCTAAAACAATTTATGATAAGCACAATTTTATGAAATCATTATGGTGAATCACAAGTAAATATTTGCCATTGAATGGACTAAACATTATTTCTTCATGATATTTTTAATTTTAGCCTATATTTGGAAGTCATCTGTACAATATATATCTGTGTATACTCACGCAGTATCAAGAGCAAATCCTTTACCGATGGCTCCATTTGAAGATTTAGAGAACAATGCACTGAGGGCGTTCTTGTCATTGTGAGCTAATCCCAGTTTGCTGGAAAAGAGTGAAGTTCCATCTGAGTTGAGAGAGAAAGAGGCAGCGTTCCTTTGGCTGTGAACTCCTGCGCACAGCAGTACCAGCGTCATACAAAGAGACCACATCTTGAAAATTCAAAATATTCAGAATGAATTTATTTCAGACAACACAGACGCTGTAATACTAATGATATAGATGCGTTTAAACATTTAGCTTTTATACGGATGCACGGGAGAATCCCGACCTATCATCGCGGTTTGTGGTTCTATAAAAACTAAATTAAGTTCAAATATAGAGGCTTTCAATAAATATATTTAGTTTAAAGTCGATTTAAAAAAAAGTAAATTCATATTAATAAATATTAGAACAATATCACATACTTTCTCAGACCCCTAATTAAATAGCTTTTGCCTTTGTATTATGAAAATCCGAAATAACGAAGGAACCACAATATCCAGACCCAAGAAAAAAATATTTTTTCCACATGCTCAGCGATGGGGACACTTAAAATTAAGACTTTCAAACCGACACACGAGCCCCTTGGCCATGGAGGTTATCAATGTTATAATTTCGTTTGTTGTGATGAAGAGTATTAAGTACTTTGAAATTTCCTTATTTCACTTTCAAACACTAATCCATATAACCGCCACACAGAAATAAAAATAAGGAAATTCAAATAAAAAATACTTTTCTCTCCACACGAATCCTGTTATTCCAATGCGTATTTTTTATATCCACCAATGAATTCTAGTAACTTTGCTCTGTTCTTGTTCCAATAAAAATAGAGCACTCGAAAAAAACTTACCAGATTCACCGAGAACTTGGCAATTCAATTAAATTTCAACTGTGCCGCGACTGTTATTCAACTTGCAGGGTTGCAGCATCTTGATATCAAAAGAAAACCAATTTAAGTTAAATTTCACTTATCATTGTTGTTATGTTTTGTTAATTTAAACTTTTTCATAAAAAACAGGAAACAAGTTAAATAATATTCACAAAATACTAAAATGATTCCTTTGCCTTCTCAATAATAGTAAATTAAAAGTTGTATTGCGTATTGAAAGCACTTCAATGCGAAACGTATTCCGTATTAAAAATTTGCAACTACTTAAGAATTAACTAATAGTTGACATCAGCGTCCTTTCTAATTAAAAATTCAAATTACATCCTAAAAGTGGAAAGCACTTTCCAACGGGTAGACGTACGTAAGTTTTCCGTCTCCTTGTTTTTCCACTCGCAATCTGTTTAATGGGCGATGGAAATGAAATGGGGACGGTTATATTTCGAAACGAACGATAAATAGTAAGTCGTATAGCAGACTTAAGTTTAATTTTCTGGCAACCAAATAAAATTAAAGTCCTTTTGTGGTTACAAATATAAATTAAGAGTTCCTCATGTGAAAATGTGTTCAATTCTTAAAATATTGCGTTTGTATTATTTATATAACCAATACTTTATTACCACGAACAGCCAATTACACAATCCCTTACTCCCGCCGAAATCTCGCCTTCATAAAACGGAGACGTTTGTCCAACGAGTTTATAATCATTGCGCTTGATAATTTGAAAATAATCTAGATAAACTAGTAGCTAGATTTGATTTATAAATAACTATTATAATTTAAAAAATAAAAAATCAGTAACTTTCAAATGATTTTATACAAAGAAGTAATATTGAAATATATAATTAAAAATGTCAAAACACAAATTTATAAAATGTTATATATAAAAAATCACAATATTCTACAATTTACAACAATTTATCAAAACCTCTACAATTTATTTTTATTTCATCTCGTAATTATAAATGATAAATAAGTGACACACTTTGTATTCAAGGAGTTTACGAACCAATTTTACAATAATCGTAATAGTTTGTGGTTGATTAATTGAAAATAGTTTTTAATACACAATAGCGTATCTTCTAATTTCAGGCAGCGTTGATTTCGTATCGTTTTTATTTTTGTCTTGAGACTACATGAACCTTTAAACCAAGTAAGAGACTAAATGAAGCCTTATTTGGTTTTGAGACCCCACCTCAATTTAATAGTCATTAATCTCGTTTTTCTTTTGTCTTCAGACGATTTGAAAACCTGCATTACTTTGAACTTGAGACACTGACTTAATTTATTAGGCTTTTATAATATCGAGCGGTCCTATTCTTACACCCGCAACATAAAACGCCACAATGTTCTTCCATTTGACGGCACTAAATCGGGACCAAGCTCACGTTAATGTATCGACCGAAATATTATTTGCGGAGTAGAAATATTTCCAGGCAAACCGGGGAAAAATATTCAACGGCGAAAACACTCACAAACTTTTAGTTGATTACCGCTACGTCGAGATTTCGAGTGCTACTTTTTTCAGTTTATGTTGCAACTTGCTGTAAGTTTTCAATTTTATATATTTTTTTTTATAAAATCGCGATTCGAATACCGTGGTGTTTGAATTCCATGATTATTTTGATTGGCAAATAATATTCATAATAGGTTCGGGAAAAAGTTTATTCACATTTTATATGAAAATTCAAAACATTTTTTTATAAGTTTATTTGTATTTAACTAAAATATGTAGGTACCATTTTGTTCGATAACTTTTTGCCATCTTATAGCTACCTATAATCCCATTGCTATATAAATTTTGAGGCTTCTTATCAAGAAACCGCGACAAGTGGTTTTGGCAGTCTTCGTGTGATGTTAACCTGACACTACCACTACCTGACACTACACCATCTGAAAGTGCAAGATCAGGACTATACGGCGGATGCATTAACATCTCCCAGATAAAGTCTCTTAATTTTGGCCGAATGACAAAAGCTGTGTAATTATTTTAATGTAAATAATTATGTATTAGATATTGTTAAGAAGACTGGCCACTCACCTCTTTTCTCCTTAGCCGGACCTGCACGTTCCCTCAGGACAACGGTCAAGGCGCTGAGTGACCACACGAAATTATCCTAGGTCACTGTTTCAATCTTCCTCCTTGTGTTTTTCACACCGAAAACGCTTAGTAAAGCGGGAAATGTTCCTTTCGAATTTTATGAAATTCGACGCAAGTAATGAACGAAATTATTGTTAAGAAAAATCACATATGCAGCCGCACGTAACACGTTGAAAAGCGCAATGTCTTGAACTTCGTTTTGTTTGAAAAAAAGGGCGGTTATGCTTGTGGCGCCTCCCTGGTATTGAGCGGCGGACTTAGGAACTAATTAAGAATGAGTGGCCAGATATAATGAAGTAATCAATCCTAAATAATTTTGAAACGGAATTGTGCTTATCATACCAAAAAAAAAAGAAAAATAAACAAACATATATTATATGCGAAAACTGCTTCACTACGGAACATGCCGCTCACCTTAAAAGAACCAGGTTCTTTTAACGAGAAATATATCTACTCAAAAACTGACACTTTACCGAGTTATATTATTTTGATTTGAAATTATTATAAATTGAAACTTAATATTGATAACTTACATACTAACGAACCAATTTTTATGAAAGAATACTATTCATTTGGTAAAGGACAAATTTTTACCACTGGACGCTTGAAATAAGACTGCCCCCTCTGCAAAGTCACCACACGGGTAACGCCATCTGTTCCAGGGTGTAACTTATACACTCGCGCTAATTTCCATAATAGTGGAGGCAAGTTGTCATCACGAATCACAACAATCATACCTTCACTGATTGGAGTACCGCGATCACGGAACCATTTGTTACGTTGTTGAAGTTCATGAAGATATTCCAAACTCCAGCGCTTCCAAAAACTTTGAACACATTGTTGTATCCATCGCCATCTAGTCAAGCGGTTCGGATTTGAGTCGATTAATGAAACATCCGGTAGGGTCGTTAGTGGCCCGCCTATTAAGAAATGCGCCGGTGTTAGCGGCAACGGATCTGCCGAGTCCGAACTAAGAACGCAAAGCGGACGTGAGTTAAGCACGGCCTCGATCTGACACAAAAGAGTATGAATTTCATCATATGTTTGAGTTTGTGTACCTACTACGCGATGAAGATGATGTTTAAAGCTTTTAACACCAGCTTCGAAAAGACCACCGAAATGAGATGCATACGGAGGTTGAAAATGCCATGTAATCCCTTGTTCCAGTACACTAGAGTTTAAATTTGCTTGCACTTTATCATTATGTAAAAAATTATACAAATCTTTTAAATAATTATTGCAACCTACAAAGTTTTTACCACAGTCCGAATATATATCCGTACACAAACCCCTACGCGAAACAAAACGTCGTAATGTTGCCAAAAATGCATCCGTGGACAACTCCGAAACTATTTCCAAGTGCACTGCTTTAGTGCTCACACATACGAAAATTGCAACATAACACTTTATTACTTTAGCGTTCCGTACTTTATTAGCACGAACATAGAAAGGTCCGGCATAGTCTACTGCGGTCTTAATAAAGGGCCGCTGCGGTGCGAGTCTAAAAGCCGGCAACGGCGCCATAGAAGGCTGTGGCGCAGAAGGACGAGCGCGAAAGCAACTGATGCATCGATGGATGCGATGTCGAATTATATCACGACCTGATAATATCCAATACCTTTGTAAGAGAAAATATTGTGTCGTTTGTGGACCACTGTGTAAATTAATTAAATGTGCATTGTCAATGAGTAAATTAACGAAACTATGTTTTTTAGGTAAAATTAATTGATGTTTAGACTCATACGGTAACAATGATTTATGAAGACGTCCTCCGACTCGTAACAACTTATTATTATCTAAGAACGGATTTAACCTGCGTAACTGATTTGAAGGTGGTTTACCGTTTGAAATATTTTTTATGTCATCGCAAAAAACAAAATTTTGTATTATCGAAATAAGACGATTTAGACAGAAATTATATTCTGAACATGTTATAAACTTTAAATTCACTGTATTTATCTTTTTTAATTTGTTATAGAAACGAAAAATGTAAGCCGTGACTCGCACAAGTTTACCTAAAGAAGAATACTTGTCGAACATATCAAATTCTGCGCCTTGGGATGAAATCGGAATAGCCATAACGGATTTTAATAAATTACGTTTTTCTAGATTTGTTTTAGTTATTTCTTTTTGCAAAGGCCATTGATCGGTACTTTGAGAAAGCCATTCGGGCCCATGTAGCC